TTGCTCTTCCTCTTCCTGCACCACCGGCCTTTGCTCTTCCTCTTCCTCAGTGGGTAAAGCGATTGTAATCATTCCATGGCCATCTTTCACTTCGAATGTGTCCAACGGAGAGAACTCTACAAAGGAATTAAGCTCTTATTGAAGCCTTCCATCGAACTCTACATAGTAAAGATTCAGTTAAAGCAACGACAAAAAATTGAGCGACATTGGAGAGGTTCCAAGAATAGAGAAATCTCGAGGCAACAGTCCCAGCAGGGTCCATACTTTCGATACTAATGGTGTGGAAATGATGCATCAGCCCTAGTCAAGAGCATAGAAGCGGTCACTGAACCAAGAACCCACCTCACCTTGAAAAACCGCTAACCGTAAGGTCTGAAAATGATGGATTATAACGTATGGACAAACATGCCTGCTTGAATAGAGTTAATGCGTTGAGCGAGTTTGTGTGGTAGCGTGTTCTTGATATCGGTGTGAAGTTGGAAAACGTTGTTCATGTTGCCTAAAGGAAGTCATTTACAAAAGAAATCGTAGCAGTAGCCGACAAAGATAGCGCGTACCGGCCAGATCGATGAGGTATTGTGGATTTGCCTCGAGAGTTGCTATCACCAGCACCGTCAAATTGTGTTTCTTGGCGACCTTAACGAAAATCGAAAACTTCTATGAAAAAATAACTATACGCAAATCCCTCCATAAAAACACAAAATCCTTCTATAACAAAATTTTCTCCACAATTCGATCGTCCTTGAAGATTTTGAGCCAATTCAGTTTTAAGTTTTTTCTACATTAAGTCGATGGAAGTAAGGAAAAGCACCTCAACTGGCTCTTGAATCCGATCATCCGATTGTCCATCGGTCAGAATCACCAGAACATTTTCGGCATCCGGACGATCTCCCTGAAATGAATAATAAATTCTTTCCGAACTTTCTTTATATGTTGTATCCAAACTATTCTAAAAATGGAAACAATGAGTAGAAAAAAACATAGTCTCCTAAAATACTCACCCGATTCTTCGTAAAAGCAAATCGAGACACTTTTTCAACGGCTTTGCCCAGCATACTGCCGCCCTGAATAAAAGAAGATCGTATCATTTTTGGATGAAAAATTTTACGTACACATTCATACTTACAATTTAGTTCCTTATACTAAGATCCATTTTTTCCAGTAATTACTTTAATTTACTCTGAAAAACAGAGATTGGGAAGGATGCAGTGCTGGTTTAATGCTTCGTAATATAACATTTAGCGTTCATTGTTTCATTCGGGCTTCATCCAGTAAGGGGGGGGGCATGTGGCTGCTACTAGTTTCTTGTCGGCAGAAATTCCCACTTTTTGCAAGTCGGACGGCAATCCTCCGTCCACCCCCCGCCCTCCACAAGAGCTTACCACCCCAAAAAATTGGATTATCTCATGCCATATGAACTGTCGCAGCACACGCCCCCTTACTGGATGAGACCCCGTCATTCAAGGACCAAGGTGTGCGAGGGCAGTTGATGTCCAAGCAGCTCTGTTGTACACTAACACTTCCTGCACTATCCATGAGTACATATTCAACACTGTAGCAATGAGGAAATCAGCTGGGCTGGAAATGTTTTCCCCAAACCTGAGGTATGATTTAGTCATTGCCCTGGCCTCTATCTAAACAGTAGTGCCCAACGAAGGATATGTAGTAGGAGCTTCTGTAAGAGCCCTACCTGTAATGGAGTGTGAGGGACGCTGCTGGCTTCTTATAAAAATATCAAAAGATCGGAAGCGCTGGTAAAGGTGAAACACGTTGTAGCGGTGAACGACATGCCTATTGAAGCTATTGCAGATAGTGTCGGTCTTTGACACGAATCCATAGTTTTTTTTTTTTTTTTTGTGAGACATTTGTACTAGACAGTGACTCGGAGTACGGATTTGCTAGTGGTCGAGATTTTTTGAATTTTCTTGGATAACTACTGACTGCAGCAACTTATATCCACCTCGTGGATTGAAGCCTTGAGAATGCTCTATCATTTGGTAGTCATAAATGTTACCTATGAATTTTTCAGAAAAAAAGAAAATTTTGGAAAGAGTGTTGCAGAACTTTCTTGCCAACCTAATACTATAGAAATTGTCGTGCTAGAGAGTTCGACACGCGAAATCTTGAACCCTTCTCAAAACGAGGTGTTTCTGAAACGTGATCATGGCTGATGCTCAAGGGCTTATCTAAGGTAAATAACGGTCGAGGTAAATAACGGTAGAGGATTCCCTGACCATGGTACTGTGTGAGAATAGTGTCGAGAGTGAATGTGCGCGCGGGAGAATGTGACGAAACAGACAAAAATCCTCGACGAATCCTCAACCGATTTTCACCCCGGGCTCACGCCGTGACGTTAAGTGTGTCCTTCTACGATTCCTATGTTTGTTCGCAAGACTCTAGTTCTCTCTCTTCATCTATTCTGTACCTTGCTGAGAACACTATTCCTGCACGATTTCCATGCGCAATTTTCTGGGTGGGAAAACACTGTTGTGGATCATTTTCACCCTTACGAACATCTGACCTGCATGTAGTCGGTGTCTGCGATGTCGTCGATCAACCACTGTTTACAGTTGTGCTTCCTCAACGAGAACTCGAGATATGGCTCAGAATTGTATTGCACAAGTGAAACCTGAATGAGTATAGCTGGGAAATGCCTCTGCTAAAATCTCTCAGAAAGGGATAAATTCTCACCTGGGTACCGTTGGGTCCAATATTTCGGAATTGTGAAACGGTGTCGAGGATGAGCTGAATGGCATGCATGAATTTGTGCTCGTTGAACGAATTTGACGAGTCCAACAGGAACAAAACGTCGGTTCGATTCGTGTCCGAAGGATCGTTGGGAGTAGGACATGATTCTTAAATGCATAATATACGGCTTAAATATGAATGAGAACTCTTCCTGTACTCATTGAAGTCTACCTTTTGGCATGAAGAACGTGTCGGGAACCGGCTGCACTTTTTCGGTATCTGGGGAGAAGGTTGTCTAAACTTTTGAAATTTAATGCACTGCTGAAAGATGAGCGATGACACCAAGAAACACTGTGCGCTAAGAGGGAAACAGACTCGTTGAGAGACGAGAGCTCAAATTAGTCAAAGGCACCAGCAACACATTTGCAACGGAGGGTGGTCGCAGCGGGGTCTGGCTGCGACTACCCTGCTTTGGAAATGTTTTGCCGTCTTCCCATTTTCCGGCACTCTAGCCACGCGCTTCTAACAAGGGAGGTCGTTCAGGGTGTGCCAAGCTTTTTCAAAATGGTTTCTTGCATGACATTGGGGCACATATGGGGACCACAGAAGCATGGTTCATTTTTCCTGAACGGCCCTCTGAATACCAGAAAAGGGGTCCCTAGTTCGATTCCTCGTGGTGACAAATTTTTGCATTTCGAGTTGACGTTTCAAAATTCGCGCAAAATGGAGTTAGCATGAATAATTAGTACCATTCATGATTAGGAACGTCAGTAACCCTTACAAATAGACTTTGATTGAAAAACTGGTGAAAAAGGTGTGACTAGGGACCCCCTTTTCTGGTATTCAGAGGGCCGTTCAGGAAAAATTAACCATGGTTCTGTGGTTCCCGCATGTGCCCTATATCATGCAAGACCGTTTTGAAAAAGCTTGGCACACCCTGAACGACCTCCCTTGTAAGTCGCGGAAGTGGCTGAATCTTTGCGGTTGCGGGCCTTACGTATTTACGAATTAGTTGCTCCACGAGCATCATCGTGGGGTGTGCCTTTTAGTCCACATGAGCACTTAGGTGGAGTCCGGTGCAGTGCGCCCTTCCGATTAGTGGGTCATTCATTCAAGAAATCGGCACTATTTTCCATTTACTGCCCCACTCCTCAAGAACTGAGCCGGATTTTGATCGAAATTCGTCCATGACTAGGATTTGGCTAGAAAGTTGTCTCCGGAGGGTATTTCACCCGTAGAACACGAATATCACATCAGGTTTAGAGCGAAAACGCTTGGCGCCCGCGCCACAGGCGCCGGCGCTATCACAACAGTTTTGCGCCGGCGCCTCGTAGCGCAGGCTACAAGCTCACTCGCTTTGAACTGATGTGATATTCGTGTTCTACGGATCTAGCCTTCCCCAGAGACAACTTCCTAGCCAAATTATTGGCCATGGACACACATTGATATGAAACCCGTCCCAGTTTTCGTGCAGCGGAGTGGGCGGGGGGGGGAGGTGCAGTAAGGGGTAAATAGTAGTGCCGATTTTCTCTTAGTTTTCACCCTTTTGCAAATTTTCCTTTGGAATTACTTCATTCGATGCTTAATCTTGTTTCAGAATCAAACGCTTTTCATCGGATTTCTGCCTGGTATGATTTTTGGCACTATTGCGCTATTACAACCCCAGTGGGGTGAGGGTCAAAATTTTTTTTCGCTGAAACTTCTCTATGGGGGTTATCGAGGGTCCTGATCACGAATATGACATCCATTTTTGGCGCTGGCGCCAAATTGGCGCCATTTGGCGCCAGATGGCGCCACAACTGATTCTCACCAAATTCGCTGTAAACTTGTGTATAGGGGTTATTTGGGGCCCTGATTTTGTTGTTCGGCGCATATCTTCTTGCTCGTTCTGAGCC